ATAAAAATAATAAAAATATGTTACACAGTTTATATATAAACATTTAGAATAATAAGCAAATAGAAATAATTATTTTATTTAAATTACGTAAAATACCTTGTTATATATAAATCATAAATATATATTTCACATAAACTTATTGAATATTAGCTAACATATGTAAATATCTAGTTTTATCATCGATTTCGTCCTAATTTCTTACATGATTCGCGATTACCAAATGTAAGTTTTTCATACTTTCTTTTTTTTTTACTTCAGTACGCCCTGTATTTACGATAGCAAATAATATACGTTGACAGGCTAAATATTTTTTCAGTCCGTCAAACAAAAACCACATACTGGGATAGATACAATTAAATAATGAATTTAGTACCTTATGAAAGCTTTCGTAACAATTTGTGATTTTTGGAGATTTTTCGAAGGCTGCTTCATAATAATTCCACATTTCGATTGGAAACTGTGGTCTTCTAGAACTTTTTTTGGCTCCAAACCTAAATAACTACATTTAAACATCAATTTCTATAGATACACATCAAAACTATGCAAAAATAGAGTGAAAAAACGAAAATAAACTATTAGCAGTTACAGGAAAAAAATGTCGTACAGGGGGCAGTGGTATAACATATTACAGTACATGCAAAATTTTACTATAGTTTTTATTCTTTTATATACCGCCTCTGGAAAGGTTAATGTGAGCATTTATCCAATATTTTTTTAAATGATCAAATAATTTTTCTTTAAAAAATTCAAGTAGGTGTACGATGTTCAAATCTATTAATTATTGATTGATTAATGTAAGGATATTTCTACGTATTTTATTTATCAGTGAGCTTATTTCCCTGTGAGCGTATGTCTGTGTGAGCTTTTTTCCGAGTGAGCATATTTCTAAGTGAGCATTTTTCCATGCGAGAATTTTTCTATGCGGGCATATTTCTGTGTGGCCTTTTTTCCTGTGAGCATTTATATCCGTGAGCATTATTCCTGTGGGCTTTTATCCTGTGGGCTCTTTTCCTAGAACCGTTTCAACTATGATATTAGGCGTCAGAGACTGCAATCAATACACAGAGAATACTTAAAAGCTAAATGCAGAAAACGTATCGAAACTGTAGCTTCATTATATTATCCTTCATCGAGGTTATACTTCCTTGATATTCATTGCCTCTGAGCGATTCATTGACCTTATAGCCAAAACCGCAAGGTGTAAAATCATGTAATCCTCATGGCCATGCCAGAGGAAAGAGCAGCTAATTAGTCTTTCTTTGACTGAAGCCTTTCTCGCTTAGATTCAGCAAACCTCATTCATACAGATGTGGAATAGCAAAGCTGTGCAGCAGATGATGACGACTTGATAAATGTAACATGCGACTGACCCTATAACAGAAACAAATTATTGCATATGCGGGTTGCAGTTCCTCAGTATAGGTATGATACAAGCAGGAAATATGACGTGCAACTGAACCAGATAGAGATTTTCTGCGACTGCAGAGGGATCTTATGAAAACTATGTGGGATTCTATAAGACTATATTCACTAAGTTTATGAGTTCACTGTTTTAGCAAAATATGAATGTCACCTGCCCATATTATAAACGGTTAAAAATTTTTCATTCCTTTTGAATCGTTAGTATTCATCCATTCAAAAAGAATGAAAGCTTTCAGATCTTGTTTGAACAGCTAGTAAATTCCTTTTCAACCTGTAACCGTTTGAGAAACTTTATTAATTTTGGGGGCCATCTCTTAGTAGTATTACTGTCACATAGCTTGTATAGGTAAAAGAAGATTTTTTCGGAATAATTTCTTCAGCGTGGATGTAGAACGTCGAAATGTCTCAATACGTTCCTTGTGCTGCTAGATACTAGATTAAATACTAATGGATAGATATACGATATTAGTAGCAACTTCTGTTGCTTAAAGTGAAACAGGACTTCCTTCCGCCATAATACAGCACCCAATCATTCGTTTAACTACAACTGACGATAAAGGTCGGAGTATTGCTTAGACCTTCGAAATTCACTTTCAGCATCTGCTGTATTTCGTCAATTAACAAACAATAATTTAACATTCAAATTACAGTCGGTCAGAATGAAATCTACTTACACTTCTTTCAGAGAAGAATCAGTTAGAATAAGATCTACTTCTTCGTTGATGAGAAAAAATGATTTACGATAAGGTGATTCCTATCTTTCAAGTGCGTCTTTATTTCTTTCTTTTTTATTTTAAATTGCAAATTTTAAGTTTCTCCTGTTCCTTTCTTAATATCTGCGAAGGAGAGAAAAATAATTTTAGAATTTTCTACTACGTTTTGTTATTTGCACGTGTTTCCTGTTTCACGATTTTCTGTTTTATGCTATCACTAAAATATGCTACTAAAAGCACTTCGCGACTTTTATAACGCGAACTCTTCACTAGTTTATAATCACCTAGATTACTTGATGTGAAAATTGTAATGCAGCTGTAATTTTAAAAGTAAATATGCTACATATGAAAAGAACTTTGTATCTGTATTAAAATATAAGTCGAGATTTGTTTGAAATCCAGCAGTTTATTGTGCATTTCTTTTAACGTTTCAACGTTTGCATTTCTTTTAACGTACCAACAGCTTGCATTTCATTACTTTACAAGGTATACAGATTTAATCTAATATGAAAAAGTAGGCCAATGTTTCTTTCGTCACCTATGAAACCTGTCTTTCCTTATTTATATTGTATTTTACAAGCAAGATGGAATTCTGAAGATCATATATTAAATTTTAATTTGTAAATAATAAAAGCACTAAAAAAATCATTTCATGTTGTCTTCTGCAGGGCGTTCAAAAAGTAGTGCATACCTGTGGTATTAAATAATTAATGAAATAAGAGCGTTCATTGAAAAACAGGTCAACATTTTACAAACATAAATCGTTTCTATAAATAAAACAATGGCATTGTTTTCTTCTGGTAGTGCATACCTAATTAATACCCCAGCTATTACTTATCAGAACAAAAACATGGCTCATTTACTAGAATTATTCGTAGCGGCTGAGAAAAGTTTTTTCATTTGTTATTAACAGTATATTTCTTAATTGCGTTCCTGATAATCGAGTTATATATATCCATCTATTAGCAGAAATATATCATTCAGCTACGATATATCGTCTGTCTCGTATTAACAGAAAAAAAAATATTTGTTGGTAAGCTTACAGCATTCGAGTGTTATGAAAAATAATTTCACAGGATTCTTTTTATTCAAAAGTTTATTAAGGATTATGAGCATCTCTGGGCTATAAAAAAGTGTAGGTTTTCCACAGGAATTTAAAACCCTTCGAAAAAAGAGACAAAATGTTTAAAATTAAAAGAATCATTGGGGTAAATTCTAGATGCGTTGTACACTTGTCGTGAAAGATCCATAAGATAATAAATAAAACATTGTAGAACTATTTTAATAATTTCTGCTTCGTCTCTTGAGAAACAGAAGCAGATTAACAAAAAGGAAGTTGCAGGGAAATTTTCAGAATTTCTGCTTCGTTTCTTCAGAACCAAAAGAACCTTACAAAATAGGGGATTATTGCAGAGCAAATTTAAGAAGTTTCACTTCCTCTTTTGAGGATATGCTTGTCAGCTACCCAGCATCGGTACGACCGCATCATAATACAATTAGGTTTGAGGTTTTGCTCACGGTAGTCTAATTTAAGTAAAGCGTTTTTTATTTACATTCATCTTTCGGTTGGTTGAACCCTTGTTGGTTTCGGAAAAAAATTCAATATATTTGGATATTTTAGAATAAAGACAGAACGCAAGATTTGATTTCTGAAAACTACTTGATGGAATTCAAATGATGCAGGATTTCTTCAGTAATAGGATATCTAACTGTCAAACGACGGTAATTAAGCACTAGATCTCTGATATTATTGACGTGTTTTTTCATTGGTTAAAGTGGACGGCCTATGACAAAGCATGTTTTATTTTTGATGCGTTTTGTGCCTGCTTTAAATATTTTTTCACCACTTAAAAATGTTTGCCTTTGATAAAATGTTGTTTTCAAAAGCTGTCCGTGATATTTTTAAGGATTTCTGTAGCAGATATTTTATTTTAAAAGCAAAATTTAATGCTCACCTATATCTTTCATGTATAGAAATGACCAAAGAAAAAGTTCTCTGTTCATTCAAAAATGAATTTATTTTCAAATAATAAATGACAGTGAAATACGGATTGTTACCAGATATAGGTGAAAGTCGTAACAACTCTTGTAAAGCTTTGCAGTCGGTTTCTGGGACATGGGTATTTTAAATGGAACATTCCCAATACTTTTTATCACTGCAGTATTATTCTGAATTCCTCCTCACTATGCGGATTCTGAATATGAAAGTTATAATTCATAATTAACTTTTTCTTTTCATAAAAAACTTAATTTTTCAGTTTTTTTATTACGAAACTGAGAGACAAAACGAAACATCTTAAGAGAACAATTTTCACAATAATTGAGATAAATGCTTCTTTTAAAAGTGGTATGTTTTCAACGTGATCCATTTTTGGGACAAGTATAATAGCAAATGTTAAAGTAAGTTTTTGAAATTAATCTGTTTGAAACCCATAAGTTAATCAGGGAAAACATGAAAACATTTAAAAGATACATAACCTTTCCTTTTGAAACCTTTTGTGCCTTGTTAAAATGTCACTATCGAGGGAAAAAAAAGAACCTGAAAGAGCTGCGAAACATAAACGACTAAAGAATCATTTAATAGGGGATGCCTGCCTTTAAGATACTGTTATAACTGATTCGTTCAGTATAATGAAACTTGCCGTTGCATTTGCTAGAACCAGCTATTACTGAGACGATCATTAAACGGCAACAGAACCGATTTCTGCAGTGATCTGTAGTAATTTGGTTTTTTTAAGTATATTCCTCGCGGTTACGCAATCGCAAAACTTGTTTCTGTCATTAGAGATAAAATCTGTTTTATGTGGTTTAGCTGAAAGGGAATATTGAGCTAGTTCGCAGAAAGAAATTACTACTTCACAGCGCATAATGTAAGAGCGTGACGCTTTGTTTATGTGACACAGACTTTCTAGGAAGCGGAAAGCTTTTGTTTTGCTACACTACCAAACAAACAGTTTTAAAAAGTGGCGACGGAGTGAAGTTTCAACTTTTAAGGACACTTTTAAAAAAGGTATGGTAAATTTAAATTGTTTAGACTTTTTCAATTGTGTACTACGTTACATCATCTGCTACATCATATCCTCAAAGGTTATAATCCACAGTCAGAAAACAAGAGATTTATGCGTCTTTCGTGGAAAAAGTACCCGTCAGATAGTTTAAAGTCTGACTGTGATATAAATGTTCTTTTGCATTTACTGTAAAGAAACAAAGGTAACATTAAAAATAGCCAAACTTATTAAACTTATAGCTTCATATTTTGAAAATGCAAACAAAGGTGAAATAGAGCATTTTGTGAGAAAAATTTTATAATTCCATAGAATCTATGTGTTCAGATCTTCGCATCAAGAATTAAATATGAATAATAGTAATAAAGTAAGAATTATATAAAGTAAAAATGCAAATATTATAAATTGGGAAAAAATGTTGAAATTTCTCAAAAATTGTATTTTGTCGTCTTTTTTCTTCAAATTTTGATACCGTGCAGTCACGTAGATCTGTGGAGTCATTAGGTGTATCGATGCAGGAGAAGGGAAAAATGTGCAGTGCCCTTGCCGGACTTCCTGATTTTGCGTCGCACATGCTTCCAGTTACACCATAAAGGCATGCGGAATAGAGGGAGAAAATAACCATACAAATCTATAAGTTTCATATTTAAAATTAATGAAAAACTGTAGTAACATATTAGTTTGAATAAGAATTGATGGAAATGTCTTCTGTTCTTATTCATTCAAATCATGTCTCAGTATCTTGCTTTTCCCAGTGAAATTAATGATGTACTGCCAAAATGTATTATATGTCAAAACGTAAAATTGACTGGGCCTCTCTTATTCCATTATTTAGTTATTAATTAGCTCCATTATTTAATTTCCATTTCCAATAATTAATATTTCCATTCTTTTGTAATTAAACGGCAGGCCATGCTAAGAGATAAACTACATGGATGATAACACTTCTCGTACGCTGCTTATATTACTTCTAAGCATTCGACGTTTTACTAGAGGTAGCTTCACTTTAAGGTATCCTCTGCATCACGGTTTAGTAGATCATTTAATTGATGCGCATAGGCCTTTCACTTTTCAACCATTAAATAAGCATACAAGAGATGTATTCTGAACAAAATGGTGGGCTCTAAACTAAATTTTAAAGTACTGTTGCGATTAAAACGTCAGTTTGAAAAACTGAATATTATTCCAAAGTGTATACAATAGTAAATCAGGGAATAAGAATTTCTTTTCAGTACACACTTTTCAAAATTGCTGTATCATTCGGAACAATGAAACCTGTGCTCGCTACACAGTTATTACATGAATGGGAAAATGTTAAAATGCTTCTATAATGACAAATCTGAGGAAAAAATTCTTCTTGTCCTGTTGTTACTCTTTTATGTACGCATTCGCATTTTAGCAAAAATTCAAATGCCTTCAAGTTTCCCTCAGAATATATCAGCCATAACGCCCCTTTCCAAATACGCGGAACATTGCTGTATGCTTCGCAACAATAAGACAGATAGTTGTACTCCCCGTATAGTTATTTTATTGAATGGCCAAATATTTTATTTTTTACTTACTTACTTATCAAACGGAACTAAGAACAAGAGGCGTGCGTTTCTCAACTCACATCAGTTTGCAAATTAGATGCGCGTTTCGAGCAATAATTAAGTCACGAGATCAAATGGGAGTTTGCTTCAGACAAGTAATGTAAGAAAAGTTGCGGAACAGGTCAAAAACCAGGTGGTTTCAACTTCCAGCTAACGATGCCGGAAGTTAACAGCAAAAGTTCGTCGTGATCATGAAGAAAGGGAAAGTCATTATGATTTTTAAAAACAAAATCAAAAGGAAAACAAGAAAATACTGCTTGACTCATACACTGCCAGTGGGTTAACCTCAGGTTCATTTCTCGACAACGCCTATCTAAAAGGCAGCCATACAATGGATTACTACTTGAAAGTCGGTTAGTTCGTGCATTAGCATAGATGCATTGAAATTAGCATCGCTTAATAGGCCTTCGCTCTAGTGGAATTATGAAATAACAAATGTAAGGGCAAGGATATATTTCTTATCTAAAATCTTAATGTAGTTTCTTTCCGTACCATTATAAATAAGAAAACAATAGTTTTCTATCAGAAATGAAATGCAGTTTTAAGGAAAAAAGAAAATCAACATTAAGAATTTTTGCCATATTTATATATTTATAATAATATATGTTTTCATCAAAACTCAGAATATTACTTTTTTACTTTATCTTGCAGTGTTGGTATTTGAAATTTTTACACTCTGTACCTAATTTATTATGATTTTTGGATAATTGTATACTTCTTTATGTTTCTTAAATGCTGCATGTATAAGACCTGCATGCACAGATCTTGTTGTCTTTCTTATATAATGTGTAGGGCTGTTGTCTGAACCTGGCGGCCCGCGTTGCTGCATGCTGTTCCCAAAGCAATTTTATGCGGCCCACGGGGACATTTGATTTATGTATTTGTTGCAAATACAGCGTTACAAAGATTTCAACATTTTAGCTGTTTGAAGTCCGAGTTTATATTATTTTCAGTTCCATTAAAAACGAACAGAAATAACTCATCAGAAAATCTACTAGGTAAAATAATTCGAGCTAATTAATTTACAATGTACCGTAAATCGTATTCAAAGATTCGATGATGCAGATTTTATTAACTTTAATTGGTACAGGTCAAAAATAAATCAAAGCAATTACGAAAATTTGAACTCAGAATAATCGCTTTGTTTGAGAACACATTTATGGATAAAAAGCTGTTTTTCACAGTAGAACATTAAAAAAAGGCATCTGATAAACATCAACAATCCGTGACGAAGATAATTTCTATTAATTTTCTTCAAGGCTCCAAGACTTTTAAAGGACGAACGTAACCGATATTTTAATTGTAAAGTGCACTTTAGATTGTAAATGCAACCTACATTTGAACTAAAAAGTATAACCGTGAAAATTTTCATACAGGTACCAAAATTTAGGTTTTCAGACAGAAAATAAATATAAATTGAATTTTCTTCTTTTGCGATATTATTATTATTTACGTACGCTTTCATAAATATTTAGTAAAATATAACAAACACGTTAATGAAATCAAACTTATTTAAAATACGTTTTATTTTGTTAGTAAATTGTTTCATTTAAAAAAAAAAATATATCTGTTGCCAGTTGCTTTCAAATCGTGCATTCAACCTGCACGCAATTTCAGTTTGAGACCATTTAAGCAGGGGATCTTATATTTAGAGAAACGTATGTGCGTAACTTATATATGTATGGATTGCAATGAAGTATGTAGGGATTTTTTCCGCAGTTAGGAACCGTGAATAAGATCCGCATATAGCGTTTAGAAATGATAAACAAGATCTGTGACTGCTATATATCGTTAGAAGGAAATTGTATCATATAGGAAATAATTAGGAGTATGTTTGAGAAGCAAGAATGATTCAATGTGTTTGATTTTAGAGTCTATAATGAAAAAGCAGGTGAATGCTTCGGATGATTTAGATCTGATTATTTGGATTATGACAAACCATACTTTGGCTATTTATCTGCTTAAGGGAAGAAGAAAATGCATCAGAGAAACAAAAAACGTTTGTGAAGGAAATTTTGGCTGAGAGACTTAAATTTAATCTAATAAAGTATTCGGGATCTTCTGTCCTATATATTTAGCCCAAAAGAAAAGGAGAAGAAGTATATGATAGCTCATCAGTTTATGCAATAAAGCAACGGCAATAGTGCTGCCTGTTTTTGTGAAAGTTGTAATTTATCCGTTAAATTTACCCATTACATACTCCACCGTGAAACACTTTTTAAAATATGAGACTTGAAGTTATTTATAATAAAATCAAAACCCCTTTCTACCTCTGCCTGTACTTACTGGCTGATTTGAACTATGTAGAGAAAAGTAATTTTACTCCGGACAATATGCATTTATAAGAAATATTATGTAAACAGATGGTTGATTTTTATTTTTGCATATGATGCTTTTTATAGTTAACAAATGCATTAGCCCCTTTTGATAGAACACGCGAAAGAGTGTATTTTTTGCCAGCTTGTTGCCACCAGTGTGAGAACGGTTAAGGCCGCTGGATGCTGGTAGTTCGACTTCAGTAGAAACAAAAGCGAAAGGGCTGGCTGCATATGTGATTTTTGTGGATTTTCCCGTGTGTAATGTAAATGCGAGCCAGTTTCCCATAAAAAATCCTTTACGAAGTCATCTCTCCCTTTTGACTCATAGTCTTCATATGCTTTGCCATATCCAAGTAACATAACTTAATCTTTTAGTTAATTCATTACTCTGATGCAAAATATAGCATTTGCGTTGTTGATAATATAATGAGGAAATATTTGCCTTCTATAGAAATTAGGAGAGAAATTGTAGGTTGCAGTTTATCTAGTATTTGTCATCAGTTTCCTTACCTTAATGAAATTTCTGAACATAAAGCACAGATGAGAATTACACATATGAAAACATAAAACACTACTAAGGTACATATGATAATTTTTTCTACTCGCATTTATCATTTTAAAATTTGCAATGGTGATTGAAAATTTGTTAAATAGCTATTGAATTTCCTAGTTTATTCTTCGAACATAGCTAAATCATAGCTAGAGGTTGTTAGCTGAGAAAAAGGTGTGTGATGTTGTTAGTCAAGTTTGGGTGTAGCTTCGGCGATAGCCCTCGCTTTCACTTTAATTAAATAGTCCAATTCTATCCTGAAAAATTAATGAATTTCTCGGTCTTGGTGTTTGTGTCATTCACGTAAAATTACTGAAAAATTAGAAGAAATCTAAATTTACCCACCGAATTATGAAATGCGCGTTTTTTGTTAGCCACCTTACAAAATTTTCTTCTTTTGCAGGCCGTGCTATAAAACCTTCTTCTTTTTTTAATGTTTCTTACCCGCATGCTTTTTTCCTATTTAATTTAAGCGATGCTTCTTTAATTTATTTTTCCAAATGATACATTGTCATTTCTACTACTACATTAAAATTAGGTAGCAT